CCATAACTACAAAAATAAAATCAACAATAACGTTATCAATAATTATAATAATTCAAAGATCAATGATTATAACTATAATAACATTAAAAGATATTTTAGTATTTCAAAAATATTTAAAGCGCAATATTTTGACACAAGTACATTTGTGCAAAAACTTGAAGCTGAAGGATTTACTCGGCAACAAAGCGAAGCTATAATGAAATCAATGTCTGAAGTATTGGATGAAAGCATGAATAATCTAATTAAAAATTTGGTAACAAAGGCTGAACAAGAGAAGGTATTCATTCTTCCTTTATTTTTAAAAATTTTTTCCGATTAATTGAATATGTAAACTAATCGGGTTATATATAAAAGACAATTTACAAGTCAAAGGTGGATTTTGCACAGTTGAAATCTGAAATACAAATGTTAGAAAAGAATGATTTTCAAATGTTGAAGACTGACAATGAAAGAATAATTAGCGAGGTAGAAAAATTAAATCAAAAGCTAACAGAAAGTATTAGACACACACAAGCTAATGCGAAATTGGAATTAAATTTGGAAAAGGGTAGAATAAGAGATGGTGCTAGTACATTGGAATTGAAAATCAAAGAAACTGATTCAAAAATTGATGGCGAAATAGGCAAGTTGAAGACTCAAATGGAATCCATAAGATTTCAAATATTACAATATATTCTTGGTACATTGACTGGTGCTGGTGCTTTAATTTTAGGTAATTATATAAATTATATATTTTAATAATTTGTATTTTTAATATTAATATCTAATCTTTTTTTTTCTTTGAATATAGCATATTTACGTATGCTTCGTTGACTTGTAAATTATTATATTTCTATACGAAAAAAGAGAGTAATCGATTATTATTATTTAAAATGGAAAAGTGTTTTTAATTTTAGAAATAAATAAAATATTTATATCATACAAAATAATTTGATATTTAATCATATATTGTTTATCCATATATTTTAACCAATTGATTTTTATATTCCAATCTCCCGTCCCATATTCCCATACCATATTCTACCCAAACCATTCTAATATATCAATTACAATATAATCCACAGAACATAAATAAAGGAATGCAATTATAAAAACGAAGATCCTGCTCATGTTCTTTTCTGGTTGCTTCGCTTTCCTTTTTTTCTTGCATTAATTTGTGGAATGAATTTTTAGCAATCAATCCTGTTGTTAATAAAAATGTTATACATTCATTTTCGCTAAAGTTATTACAGTGCTTTTTAATATAATGGGAATTGATTTTCAAAGTATCAGATTTAACATTAAATATTGCTATTTTCCTTGGATGATTACCGTTACCATTACCGTTACCGTTACTATTACCGTTACCATTATCGTTACTGTTATCATTACTACTATTGCTGTTTTCGCCAATGTCTTCTACTGTACAGTAAATATCTTCTTCTACCCTAACTTCATTATTATTATCAAATTCTTCATCTTCAAGTTCATCGCTGTTTTTTTCTTGGCTTTGATGTTTAACTCTATTTATTTTACTTTTTAAAGAATTAAATTTGATAAAACTTGATCTATTTGCAGCATTCCTCCTGTTGCTAGGATTATAATTATGAGGTGGATTATTAGAATTTGTATTTGTAGTAGTATTGGTATAATTTATATTTAATATCCAATTGAATTTTTTGTTATTCCAAAGTATAACATAACTGACTAAATCTTTATCAAATTTTGATTTAATTTTATCATTACTAATAGAATTCAAATGCCAAGTTGCACATGGATTTATATGATAATCATGAACAAGATTAGTATGATAATTATCATTACAAATATTTAGATTATCAGTTTTTGCGACCCAAATGCTTGTTGCTAATTCACTGTTGTCGCCCTTGTTGTTACTGTCCCTTTTGTTGTTGTTGTCGCCGTCGTTATAAAATATTTTAATAGTCGGTTTAGAAATTTTTGGTGGTTTGATATAAAAAAGATAATTTTCTTCCACTGCTAATTCACCGTTGTCAATGTCTTTTTCGTCTTTATGATTCTTGCAATTAACCTGATCAGGTTTGGAAATTTTTGTTTCTGAATCATAAATACAAATTTTTCCATGTTTTTTAATAAACTTAAATGAAGAAGGAAGTGTGATAGTCTCCCTCTTGTTGTCATTATTTGAAGAACATAATAATAGAGTATTACTCGTGGACACAGAAGGTGAAGTTGAGGTTGGAGAAACGGGTGGCGTTGATTGATTTTGATTATTTGAATTAGAGTTTTCTATATCATTATCTTCCGAATTTAAAACTGAAGTCATGTTAAAAAATATTAATTTATACGAAAAAAAAAATTTTTTTTAAAAATATTTTTAAATATTATACATTTAATATTACATTTATATTTTTCTAAAAAATGTTTCCACTAAAAATTACTCCAATCTAGTTAAATATAGACAATGTATGTCGATCCTTTTAATATATAAGAAAAAAGGAAAAAAGGAAAGAAAGGATTTCCTTCATTAGTATATAAAATTTTTGGCGTACGAAAAGGTTAAAAATACATTTAGATTTTATTTATTTATTTATAGAATAAAATTGTGGCGCATTTATGTTACCAATATTGATTGACAGAGCAGATAGATGTAATTATCAAAATGACAATTATTAATATTAGTAATAATCATAATCACCATTTAGTTATAATAACAGGAGCAAATAGAGGATTTGGTAGAAGCTTAGTTGAGAGTTATTATAAACAGTTTCGTCAAGAATTAAATTCAACAACAACAACTACAATAGTAAACAAATTAACTTTAGTTTTGGTTGGTAGAAATTACGATTCATTAAATTCAGTCAAACAAAATATTTTAAATAAAGAAGATGATGATAAAGGAGGAGAAGGAGGAACAGTTGTTGATATTAGGATTATCGAGAATTTTGATCTTGAAGAAATGGAAAATTTAAATTCTAATTTGGAAAGACTTTGGCAACAAATTGAAGCAAGTAGATTGATTAAAAATACTAATTAATTATCAGTTGGTTGGTTGGTTGATTGATTGATTGATCGATTGATTGATTGATCGATTGTTGTTTGTTTGTTTGATAGGAATGTTCGAAGGAATTATCATTTACAAAGTCGATATTGATAAATAATGCAGGGACATTAGGAGATTTGTCGAGCAAAGTTAAGGATTATAATTTTAAAGAAACACAATCATATATCAATTTAAACATTACATCTTTTACTATAATATGGTAAATACGTTATACACTTGTATGTATATACAAATACAATACACACACATTATATATATATTTATTTCTCTTTTTTATTTTTTTTAAAGTTCAGAATTTTTAAAAAGATTAAAATCCTCCTTGACAAATCAACGTATAATTGTAAATATTTCATCTTTACTTGCAATAAAACCAACACCCAATTGGGGATTATATTGTATGGCTAAAAGTGCCAGAGATACTTATCTAGCTGTAATCTCTCTTGAAGAGGCAAGTAAAACTAATCACTTTGTCAATTACGTTAAATCCATCCATTATTCACATTATTCACATTATTCACATTATTCATAAATTGATAGGAAGGTAATAACACCAAAACTTTAAATTATGCACCTGGGCCATTGAACAATGACATGCAAAAACAAGTTAGAGAAACAATTGGAGATGTAGAACAAAAGACACTTTACACAAACTTTTTTAATAATAATCAGTTGCTTGATATGAATGATTCCTCACAAAAACTTGTAAATTTATTGTTTAAAAATAATTTCAAGTCTGGATCCCATATTGATTATTACGATATTTAATACTGATACTAATTAATAAATAAAATAGTTGATTCTCCAAATTCAGACCTAAATTGATGTTCATTACCAGACAGACATTAATTACCCAAAAACGTATATACATTTTATTAATATGGTCGAATTTTGGAAATAAGGCAAACATTCGTAGTTATCCATCATTTCTATATATGGTAATGATTTGTACCAGTGAAATTTGACATTTATTTAGGTTATTGCAATGAAACCTAGTCTATTATAACCCGCTAAACTTTTTTTCAAAAAAGGTCATTAAAACATCATTTAATAATATATTCTTATAAATGAATTTAGGAAAACCCGTCGATGTTTTAAGGAAAATCATATTTTTTAATAAATTTTAACTTTGTGGACCATCCATCACTTTTAAAAACATTTTTAGGAATTTTTATTCCATTCTTCAATTAAAAGAATTTCTGTTTTTTTTTTGCTGGTTTGAGTTTTGTTCGAATGAGTCCGATTGGATTTGGTCGGAGATTGACTTGGCCGACGTATACTTTTTGACATCATAACAGCGATTATTATTAACAAATCATACTAATACAGTTTACACTGTCTATAACGGATCTTTCTATAACGGATTTTTCCCTATAACGGATTAAAAGCTTTGTCCCGATTTTTTACTATTTGAAATCTCTTTCTATATATAACGGATATTATTAATTAAACTTTTTATTACGTATAACGGATTGTATCTGATATATTAATATATATATGACTTACACACTTCCTATAATGGATTCACGTGATCTGAAATAAAATGCAGATCTCTCCAAATCTAAAAAATTACTATTGTTGTCTATAAAAAATCCAACAAAAAAAAAATATATATATATATTTGAATAAATGACATAAGGTATGATGTAATGAACTAAAAGTATTGATAAATGTTGATGATGATGATTTACTGAATGAAGAAATAATTTCCATGTCGAATTTTAATGAAGAAAATCAGGATGAAGAAGACATCGAAGAGACATCTCCTATTTCAAGTCGAGATGCTTTATTGGCTATTGAAAAAGTAAACTTGTTTGTTTGAACAACAGTTTAAGGAATTTACAAATGAGGAATTGAAACAGTTAAAAAATATCAAAAAGAAAATTAAAAAAAATAGAATTCAATTCAACAAAACAATCTATATTACTGTTTTTTAAAATATTAATTAATAATATTGAATAATAATATAATAAAAATTTTTTTATTCTGCATGACTTAATGTAGTACAATTTTCTGTACCAGATTCTCTATAATAATAACAAATTTCCTGATCCTGTTATAGACAGTGTGGACTGTATTGGATTAATTTTCCCGTCTACTTTTACGAAAAGGCTCCATTATTTTGATTATTTTTAAAACAAAATGATCCTAATTTACATTTTTATACTCTTTTTAATAGAGGCTGGAATCGTCCAAAAAATCCTTAGTCGACTACTAGTTGGTTAAAAATTTCTTTAGTCACTAAATTTTTTTTTTATAATAATAATATTTCTTTTTTTTTTTTTTTTTAAAATTTGCAAATTATGAATTCATTTCCATTTGAACCTTTCACTTTTTCAAAATGCTTCCACACAAAACCATGTGTTATGATTCGTTTTTTTAAAGGTCTTCTGGAACCACCGCTTAAATCATTGGAACTTGAAACCAATGAACTATTAGACCTTGTATTGGAAGTGTTTATTCATTCGCATGTAAAATTATCATCAACAACGCCACTACTATTGTCGTCATCATCATATTGATGGTGTTGATATCCTTCCGCATAGAAATTTTCCATTTTGAATGATAAAAACACGAAAATCGTAATTGGTCAGACAATAATAATATTAGCATAGTATTAGTATTAGTATTAGTATTAGTATTAGTATTAGCAGTATTAGTAGTCGACTATTAGTTGTTCAAAAAAAAGGTTTACTCGACTAAAATAGTCAACTAATTAGTCGATTCCAACCTTATAATTATGATAACAGAGAAAACAAACTGTAATTAAGAAAATATCATATAAAAATTGGAACTTTATTATTAATAATACTAATATTTGCTTTATCTATTAATTACTAAACCAAAAATTTATTGTTATTATTACTATTAAAAAAAATTTTTTTTTGTAAACATTCCATAATTTCCACAGACGTTCCATAATCTCCACAGACGTGCCATAATTTCCATAGGTATGCCATAATTTCCATAGGTATGCCATAACTTCCATACTCTGAGTTTAAAAATGCAGTAATTGAAATTTCAGAATGCCAATTTTCTTTGGCAGACATACAATAACTACCATTTATCAGGTAGGTATCAGATACCTATACTTCCTATAGGCAATATCCTTTTTTCGCGTGAAAAACATATTGACCTAGAGATCAGGTACCTGATAACAAGAACATAACTCAATACAAATGAAGTTTGTTTGCTGAGTGTTAATGGGCAAGCCTATATCAATCAGGTGAAACAACAACAAACAACGATGTATTGCAATATATGTGATAGAGAAATCGTAATATATAGAATTACCCGTTTTCCCCATACGTTCTTATAATTTTCTTCCAATAATAAAAAAATGAAAGATAAATAAAAGCAACCAACTAAATACAAAGTACCAATTAACAATCCGTTAATAAGTCCTCTCAATCAAGTAGAAGCATTCAAGCAGATTTTGACAAGGCACTGATAATACAATCAAGATCAGAGCTATTTTCCACATACATTCTACAAGGAATATGACTTTCTTCAGTTTCCTTGGCTGCTTCTCTAATATCTTTCATTGTATTATACAAATCTCTTGTTTTTTCATAGAGTTCTTCAAATGATGGCTCCTTATCATAATCTTTAGGTGAGTTATCATACCCCAAGTCAATACTATTATTGTCCAACCTTCCTTTTTTATTTAAATTTTCATGTGAATCAAAAGATTTATTTTCTTGTTCATTTTCAAGTTTATGTTTCTTGTTTGTAAGGGCATCAAGTTTTCTAATTTCATCGCAAGCAATGGCAAATTCTTCTGTTTCAATGATCTGAAGTGTGCCATCATTTGATTGGTTGTTATTATTGTTTTTGTTATTATTCTTACTACTACTACCGCTATTATCATCTATTATCGATGTATTGTTAGCTTGAGCAATCGAAGAAGAAGGTGTCACTAATGATATAGAAGTATTATGACTTAATTGTTTGATGCTTGGTTGAGAAATTGTCGATGGTTGAGTTTGTTGAGGTATGGAAACATTATTTATATTATTATTATTTGTTGATTGCTGTTGAGGTTGTTGAACAACTGTTGTTTGATTAATTTGTCTTTGTGTGTCCGTTGGTAAATCAGAAGGAGTAGGAGTTATAATTGAACGAGAATTTAATTGAGTATTTAAGACTGGTCTTAAATATAATGCAGTATGATTACGAGCAACAACAGGTGTATTTGTAGAACTCATAGTATTTTGATTGTAATTATTCGAAGAATGTATAATATTGGGTCCTTGTATCAGTTGTTGTGGTAGTTGTTGTTGGTGTTGAGCTTGGGCCATTTGATCTAATTATTGTTGAGTTATCATTGTTAGTATGAGTTTTTGATTGTTAACACCCGTTCTTGCATATACAGTCCCCGGCGAAAGTAATGGCGGTACAATGAAACATTATTTTTGCTAAGTTTTTATTAAGTAAATCGATCTTTTTATATTAAATAAAGTTGTTCACAATGAAAAATTCTACATATCCTAAAATTTTTATGAAGTTT